TGACTCCTGCGAAACACTGACATGGGAGGTTTTTTTTCTAATTTAAACTATTGGGATCCATCTAGATGATTATTTTCGAGGTAAAAAAAAAATTGGATTTTGAGTTATTGAAGATCTACATCTTTTGCTACAAAAAGGGATATTAGGATGCCAATTTTTGTAGGCATATAGAGAAAGATAATGTTTATTTTTTATTTTCTTTGAGGTTAGTTACCGGATTCTAGTGATCACATCCCTGAATTTTAGAGCTAAAATATAGTGCAAGTTTTGCTGAAAGAAGTATGTGGATGTGGGAATGAGGTTGAGGTCGAGAGGTCGTGGTGGTAGCACCACTTGAGCTCAGTTACCGGTTTAAGTTTTTCTCAGTTACCGGTTTAAGTTTTTCATACCTATTGACCCATTTGAAAACTACTAATTATTTCTAAAAAAATAAGTCAGGGCCTGTATTCCCCACTAATCTACCCAAAAAACATTATCTGGATGCATACTCCCGTGGACTAGGTAATTTTTTGGTTTTACTCCCGTGGAGTAGGAAATCTTTGGCTTTACTCTCGTGTAGGAAATCTTTTGTTTTGAGAATTTTCAAAAGAAAAAAAGTGAAGTAAGCGTGATAAATAATGCCTAAAATGTTAAGGATAGGGTTTCTAGAGCATACCCCTCGAGTATTTTTCAAACCACACCAACTACTCTTAATATTATTCGTATTTGCATCCACCTAGCAAGTAGGAAAGTACTTTTTTTTTTAAACTAAAGTCCCCTCATATGTAAACTTTAAAATTTATGTAAAATTTAAAATTTGAGATATTTTCTCTTTAAAAATTTGAAATTTGATGTAGATTATCTCTCCAAAAATTTTGAGATAGCCACTCTCCCTAAAAAAAATTAAGATAGCCTCTCTCTAAAAAAATTTGAGATAGAAACTTAAAATTTTATTTAATTTCTCTCTCTAACAATTTTGATATAATTTTTCTCTCTCTAAAAAATCATATATCTAAAAATTTGAGATAGTTTCTCCCTCTAAAAAATTTGAAATAATATTTTTATATAGAACTTTGAATTTGAGATAGTTTCCCTCTCTATAAATTTTAAGATAGTTTATCCATCTAAAACTTTGAAATTTGAGACAGTTTCTTTAAAAAATTTGAGATGGCTTCTCTCACTAAAAATTCTGAAATAATTTCTCTCTCATCATTGTCAAAGTCTTTTTTCAACTAATTAAGATCGGCTACAAAATCTTTGTTTGTCATTCTGCTCTATCAAAAGTCATACCTTCAATGAGGCCATAAAGTCTTAGACTTTTCTAAACTATTTCCAACCATGTACTTTATGACCTACTCATTACCTTTTTTTTAGCCTTCCTCTTGACCTAACTCGTACTTCGTAACGCCTGATGTCTATGTCATACACGTCCAACCCACCTTAGTTACTTTCTATCATCTTATTGCCTATTAGTGTCACATCTAAATGTATTCATTTCGAATTATGTCCCCTCTTATTTTGCCACTCATCTATTTCAACATCATCGTCTCAGCTACACTCATTTTATAAGTACGTTGTTTTTTAGCCGCTGAACGTTCCGCTCCATAAAGTAAAGTTAGTCTTACAACTGTTTTATAGAACTTACCTTTCAATTTCATTGATATGCACCAATCACTTAAAACTCCAGTTGCACATCTCCACTTCTCCTGCCCAACTCTAATTCTATGTGCGACATCTTCTTTAATCTCTCCATTTTCTTGAATTATAGACCCAATATATCAAAAGTGAGATAGTTTTTCAAAAAAAAAAACTTGAAATTTGATATGGTTCTCTTTAGAGCAATTAACATCAGCCGTCCATTTTGATAAGATGCTTAGATTTAGGACTAAGAAGAATTATTTCTTTTCTAATTTTTTTAGATGGCTTTATTATCATTAAATAAACAATATTAAAAAAAGAAAAAAAATGATTTTAACTTTGTAACAGCTAAGATCTTGAAATTCACCAAATGAATGGTCTAGATTCATTATTGGAGGGGACTCATTTTGACCATATATAGGGTTCAAATTGAACTTTTTTTTTTGAAATTGATTATTGAGATGAAGAGAGTGTGTGCAAAAGTTTAGATCATACAAACACTACAAACATTGTTTTCTAGAAGTATGGTTGCATTGTCCTATGATATAACCTACGCAACGCATGAAATCACTACCCAAAATTTAAACTCTAATCATGAATGTAATAGGAAACATAAATGTGAATCTCATCCAAAGGCCTCGTTTGGAACCATGGGTTAACAAATCGATGTTTTGAATCAAAACCGTGTTATGTCGAAACCTTGATTATGTTAAGACAGGGTTATTCAAAAAAGACTTGTTTGGATGGCTTTCAATGATGCCTAGGTGATCATTTTTTGTATAACTTGGTTTGCTATTGCACATACAAAGACAGAGAGAGATAACATATCAAATTTTAAATTTTGAGATAGTTTTTCTCTCTAAAAAATTTGAGATGGTTTCTCTTTCTAAAAAATTAAAATTTAATATAGTTTCCCTCTCCAAAAATTTTGAGACATTTTCTATCTAAATATTTAAAATTTCAGTTAGTTGACAAGTTCTCTCTCCAAAAATTTTGAGATAGTTTCTATCTCTAAAACTTTTCAAGTAGTTTCCTCTAAAATTTTAAGATACTTTTTTTCCCTAAAACTTGAAATATAATATAGTTTCTCTCTCTAAAAATTTTAAGAAAATTCTCTCTCTAAATTTCTCTCTTCAAAATTTAAAATTTGATATAGTTTATCTCTCTCTAAAAAATTTGAGATAGTTTCTCTCTAAAATATTTTAGGTAATTTCTCTCTCTAAAATTTCAAGTACTTGCTTTCTTTTAAGATAGTTTCTCTCTCTAAAACTTTGAGATTTTCTCTCTATATATTTTTTTTGGTAATTTTTTTCTCTAAAATTTAATGCAGTTTCACTCTCTAAAATTTTACAATACTCTCTCTAAAACTTAAAATTTGAGATAGTTTCTCTCTATAAATTTTCAAGCAACTTCTCTCTCTAAAATTTGATGTAGTTTCACTCTCTAAAATTTTAAGATACATTTTCTCTAAAACCTGAAATTTAAGGTAGTTTCTCTCTCTAAAAATTTTGAGATAGTTTCTCTTTCTAAATTTCTTTGAGTAGTTTCTATCTCTAAAATTTGATATAGTCTCTCTCAATAAAATTTTAAGATACCTTCTTTATCTAGAACTTAAAATTTGATATATTTTCTCTCCCTAAAAATTTTGAGAAGGTTTCTCTCTAAAAATTTTGGTTAATTTCTCTCTCTAAAATTTGATATAGTTTCTCTCTCTAAAACTTCAAAATACTTTCTCAATCTAAACCTTAAAATTTGAGATACTCTCTCAAAAAATTTTGAGATAGTTTCTCTCTCTAAAGAATTTCAGGTAGTTTTTCTCTCTAAATTTTGATATAGTTTTTCTTTCAAAAATTTTAAAATATGTTTTCTCTATAGAACTTGAAATTTGAGATAGCTTCTCTCTCGATAATTCTTGAGATAGTTTCTCTCTCTAAATATTTCTAAGTAATCTCTCTTTGAAATTTGATATAGTTTCTCTTTAAAAATTTAATATTTTTCACTCTAAAACTTGATATTTGATATAGTTTCTCTCTCTCAAAATTTTCAATAGTTTCTCTCACTAAAATTTGCTATAGTTTCTCTATCCAAAATTCTAAGATAATTTGCCTTTCTAAAACTTAAAATTTGAAGTAGTATCCGTCTCCGTCTTTAATTTGCGGCAAGATTTTGAAATAATTAATTGCATTTAATACAATGGTCAGCTATAGTGTGCCAAAATAATATTATCGTCAGTTATATTATATTGAATTTCCTCTTTCATACTTACACAAAGTCATGATTTAGATAACCCTATTTTTTCCATGATTTTATGTATCCATGTTTTGGCCCTCTTACTTGTTTTAGAAAAGATTATGTATCCAAAAGAGTTGTCAAATTTGAAAAAGTATAGAATGAAACCATTTACTTTTGATACAAGATGATCGCATTAATCTTAACCATTGGATGCGACATTGGGTGATTGCAATTATTCCATTGTCTAAAGTTCTAACTTCAAAAAAAAATTTTTCGAACTTAATGAAATATCTAAGCTATCAAATTTCACTTCAAATGATTGTAAAGAATTGTGACCACTTTGTATCAAAAGTAAATAATCTCATTATAACAGTCTTTCTTATTAAAGATAAAAAAGATACCCTGGTATTATAAAATATAGTTTTAAATACCCTGGGATCTAAACGACCCAAAAGTGACTTACGATGTATTTCAAATACCAAATCCATAAGAATCTATCCCTCAAATACACATTCGAAAAACGAATAGGTCCTTATTTCAACTCTTCTCAAATACCAAAGAAATTTAAAACATGTTTCATGTATTTCAATATTTTGAAACATACACTCCTTGAATCGCAAATTTCTTAAAGGAAAAAGTTTATATAAGGCTGCAACCTTAAAATGTAGAATTATCTATCGGATAATGTTGTTTAATGTTAAAAAAATTTCTAATTGATCATCTCGACATCGAGATATATGAATATGAAAAAAAAAAAAAAATTGAGTCCCAAAAATAATGCATCTTACAACACATTATCTAAACCATCCATTTTCGAGATTTTCATATGTTAATAGATCTTGATTTTAACCATTTTTAAAATTTAAAATTTTATAATTAGATATGAAAATAAATTTTGAGATCATCTTAAAAAAAAATTACACCAAAATTACACACATTATCTAGACCGTCCATTGTCCTAGCTTTCAATTTTATAATAGGGATGAAAAATACATTTCAGATCGATTATAAGAGTTTCAGCGTCTAAAATACAACTTATAACGAGATTTTGAGGTGCATCTTACCATTGTTTAAGATTGACACCTTATACAAACCTCACCCTTATTAGAAAGGCCAATATTTTCCTTTCAGCACAACGCATTCATGCATTATTTGTTAAAAAAAATGCAATTTTTGATAATGAACCCTATAATAAGAGTTCAAATAAAACTGCTAAAAACAGAATTATTAAGTGTCTAAATTTCTAAAATATCACATCCAACATTTTTAATGTGTACAAGAGTGCATAAATCATAATCAAGCCATGCCCATGTTACAGAGCTTCATCTTACCAGCCCAACTGTACGTCCTCCCACTTCCGGCCAAAAAGGGTGAGATGAAATGATTGAGCCCTCATAACAATCCATAATATTGCTTTAAATTCTTTGAAGGCCTGACTTGAAGGAAGATTCTGAATCACCTCTGGCTCGAGTGGTCAGCAGTAAGCAGTTAACATTAGCAACTACCAAAAAATGAAAAGACTTCATGATAAAGGAAACGATCAGCCTGCAAAACTTCAAAATGAAAACCTTGAAAACTGCCCACAAAAAAAAAATGTCTTTGAATCTCTCCATCTTCTACCCATGGCTCTCTTATTTTTTCTAAGTTTTTTATTATTATTTTTTTTTAAAGTTCTACCCATGGCTCTCTCTCTCTACATTCTATCCATGATCCTCTTCCTAGAAACAGAATTGTCAAACTCCCTATTTTGTGACCAAACTTTGGCTCTCTCACCAAGACTCAGCCCATGACCCAAATCTTTTCTTTGTGCTGTTGGCTGAGTAGAAAATGAAACCACACATTGTAACTTCCGATCATCCGACCATCACGACCGTCAAATCAATCAATCATTCTCTCTTCTTCTCAGGACTGTTGCAAATATTTCTGAGCAATTGCTTGGAGCACATTTCCTGCACCTGAGCGTGCTTCACGCGGTTAGCCTTTACCCACGCCGGTTCCTGCAAAGTGCAAACCCAGTCAAAATATGAATATCCCATAGAACGCCTAGTTCCTTTGATCTCTCTCTTAACATTAAAGTTAAATCAATTATTACCACTCCCAAATGCCCCCCAGACACGCACACAGATGCAAGTGGCCTGAAAATTTTGAGAGAGACACAACAGGACTGAGTACACTTGCTAGGCCACCCTGGCCACCCACTGATAAGAGAGATGAGAGAGAGAGAGAGAGAGATGCTCTATAATTAATAAGATCCGAGAAATTGAGAAGCTCCTCCCAAAGAGAGCGAGATAAGCGCATTTGTTTGTAAGAGTGCGTGTATCTCTGTACACTCGCCATTGTGAGGGGGGGAGAGAGAGAGAGATTCAAAGGTGCAATGAGAGCTGATAAAACGCAAAAAGAGATACCTCGGGCACCACGCGAGAGAAACCAAATTTGATCAGAAGCAATATGTGTTCCATTATGAGAATTGCTGCAAGACCAGGTTCTATTTTCCATGTCCCTTCTTGATCATATAAGCAAACCAGGAGTGCACAGTTTGTGCAAATGGACATCATGATTAAGAACTGGAAGAAGCCAATGACAAGTTCTGAATTAGAACAGACTTCACATTGCAATGTCAAGTCCCAACAAATATCAAAATGGCAATCCAGAGGTTACAAAGTTAGATCCACAGATCATGGAAAAAAAATTTCAGGATTCTTTAAAATTGGAAAAACAAAGAAATACTATGAACCAAGAGTAAGTACCACAGAACCTTTAAAACATGTATTCATAATTAAAAAAATAAAAGTACCTAATATGAAAAATAAAAAAATGTTGCTGAAGAAAAGAGAAACTCATCTAACAAGGAAAAAGACAGATTTCCAGTGACTCTAACTTTCGGTGAATATATGTCTGGCAGTTCAAGGTTCTGCACATGCACTTTGTATCACACCTGTCTTGGACCTTGTTCACCAAGTTCGGTTGAATACCACACAAGGCCACACCCCCTGAGATAACTTACTCACATTAGAAAGATAAGATAGATTCAACATGCATTTTCAGGGGGGATTTGACCAACTGAATGAGAATATAGTAAGTGGTCACTTCATCACCAAACATTTCCTATATCTTTTCTCCCTCTCAACCTTAATGGTTGCCTGCATTTTTGTGTATTTCACGTGCTGTATATTATGATATGGATGGAGGATGACACCACTTCGAAGAAATCCATGCTCTCAATTAATTTGGGGTTGCTCGAGAATAGAGATTGAGTATATAACAACTGCTACTAATCCATTCTGCAAGAATGTAACTGCTCCCAATCCATGGCTGCATTTATAACTTCTGTGGGAGAGGGGTACAATCCCATCCCAACTACAAACAGCTTATGGGGGAGCATTGTTACCATTTTAAATTGATGGATAGAGGTAGATGAACTTAGTTAAGCATGGCACGCTGGATTAATGACTTCAACCCCTCAACTATACAAAGGCATGAAGATGTTGGTCACTTGGTTGAAGGTCCTTCAGCAAGTGGCAGGTTGGAAACTGCAGATGATGCCGTGCTATGTTAGATTTGTTCTTGATTTACTGCCCCTTGCCCATCACCTGCATCCTAATTCTCTAATGGGTCATTTGGGACTTGATATTTGCAAAAACTTATTGCACATCGGTATATCAAATTCTAGTATTTGTAAAATATAATTTTTGAAACAATGTGATTTGGGTAGCTTATGCATGAACCTAACATATAACAATCCCCTATTTGGCTCATTTAAATGCAAAACAGCTTTTGGCAATTGTTATTAAACCAGTTTAGCCGTTTATTTCATAATTTATGATTATATATTAGTATTTCTCCATTAGGGAACTTAGGTGTGGATTCAATAGACGATAAGATGAGGGAAAGTAGGCGTAAGTGGGCTGACTATGTACAGCACTAATACAACACTGGTTAGGAGATGCGATTTGGTTCAAGTGGAAGGCTCTAAAAGGATTGAGGAAGGCTCAAAAAGATATGGATACAAGTCGTGAGAAAAGATATGGCAACTTTTGGCTTTACCAATAAGCGTAAATTTGGCCGCCTTGCCGCCTAGGTAGCTATGTTTTCAAACTCCCTAGGCATGGACTAGGTGGACGGACTAGGCGGGTGCATCTAGGCACCGCCTAAGTGGCATAAAAAGCAGGCTCCTAGGGGCCGCCTCGACCAATCAAAACCGAGGGCAGAATATGCCCCTCAGCCATCGGGTAAATTCATCATTTCGAAGGGGTTTTAGGGGCCATTCTTGGCCCCAAAAATATTTTTTAGTGATGTTTAGAGTGAGAAAAACTTTGAAAAAAACAAGATTTGTGAAGAAATCAAAAAAAATTTATGCGGAGGAGAAGGATGACTCTGATGATGTTGGCTTGGCATTATCATCAGATTCAAGTGCACTGGATGCCGAACGTCGACCTCATGTTGCTAGTGATGGTGAAAGTCAACACTATAATTGGGTTCATCATGTTTGTCGGGTGAAGAAGACTACTTCTTGTAGTTTATGGCCTTTGAATGTCGGACGGGACTTTTTTTATTACTTATGAGTATTTGTTGTGACCTGTGACTTGCGAGATTTAATGGACATCTCAAGATGCTTTTATCTTTTAATGTTGCTTTTGAGTTTTAACTATTCCATTTAGAGTCTAAAGTTGCATAAGCTTATGTTTGATCTGTACTTCTGACTTCTAAACAATGTATTATATACAAAACTTATTAAATAGAAAATACAATTTTATATACAATAAAAGGGGGGGAGGTGTGGGGGGTCGAACAATCCACTAGGATCTACCCCTCCCCCCAATGCAGGCCGCCTTTGTGTCTGGGCGCCTACCTAGGCGGCCGCATCCACCTTGTTGACATTGGGTCTTACTGAGAATATGGCCCTTGATAGAGAAAAATAGAGGAATAAGATTCATGTAACTGGCACCAATTAATTAGGATAAATCTTGGATGACAATGATATTAGTATTTCTCCACTTAAAATAATTTATTAGAAAGAAGCTATCAATGATATGAGGAACAAATTAGCCGGTATAGATATTATTTTGTATAAGATTTTATGGTCAAATTTGATTTACGTTCCCCTCTCTCCAGAATGTTTTCGAACATATGGCTTATTCAAACAAGTCATTTATGAAATATGCAATTATTAAATAATATTAATTATGAGTAACATGACCAACAAATATATTCTACCCATTTTGGAAAAGTACACAATGAGACCATTTACCTTTTGCACAAGGTAGTCACAATTAATCTTGACCATTGGATATGAAATTGGATGGCTGCATTTATTCTATTGACGAAGCTCAAACTTTAAAAGAAATTTTCTCAAACTTTGTGACACACCCAAGCTATGAGATTTCATATCAGATGGCTGCAAGTAATTGTGCCGTTGTATCGAAGGTAAATGGACTCATTGTACACAGTCCCTGTTATTTTTAATACATATTTATTTAGTCAAATATTTAAATGAACACTATTACAATGATAATAATAATACAAATAAATATTATAATTATATAATAATACAACATTTTATTATAATATTAATAAATTAAAATATACAATATTTTATAATTAATATAATACAATATTACTATCTCAAGATCATCATCATCTGAACCTTATCCCAACAATTTGGGGTCGCCTAATATTAATATAATAAGATCATCATCATCATCATCATCATAGCCTTTTTCTCATTTAAATAGGGTCGGCTATAATATAATAACATAACAACATAATATTATAATAAAAATATATAAAATGATCACTTTTCAAATAAAAACTATTTTAAAAAACAATAATAATTATAAATAAGAAAATAAGGTATATATTTATTATATTTAGCGTTATTACGGAATAACAGCGAAGTTTTCCTGATACTTGTTTTTTCAAATGCGTAACATTTTTTTAAAAAGAAAGACAGAACTGCCCATTTTGATTTTTTAAAAAACAAAAAATAAGCTTTAACAGTTTTTGAAACACCGAAAAGTAACCCAATTCGGTTTTTCAACAACCAAAATTGGGTTACATCCCTTAACAACCGAAAACCAACCCAATTCCAATTTTTGGTTTTGAAAAACCAAAAAAGAGACATTTTTCGGTTTTTCAAAAACCAAAAATCTCTCTTTCTAGTAAATTTTCCAATAAGTTACTGGAAAATGAAAGAGAGTTTTCGGTTTTTGAAAATTCGAAATATCCAATTTTTTATTTTTGAAAAATCGAAAATACGACAATTTCGGATTTTAAAAAATCGAACATCTCTCTCTTTCTAGTAAAGTTTCCAGTAAGTTCCTGGAAAATGAAAGACAGTTTTTAGTATTTGAAAAAAAGAAAATATCCAATTTTCGATTGTTTGAAAAATCAAAAATGACAATTTAGGATTTTCAAAAATCGAAAATATGTCTCTTTCCAATAAATTTTCCAGTAAGTCACTAGAAAATGAAATATAGTTTTCGATTTTTTAAAAACACTGAATATATCCAATTTTTTATATTTGAAAAACCGAAAATATAACATTTTCGGTTTTTGAAAAAACCGAAAATCTGAGTCTTTCCAATAAGTTACTGGAAAATGAAAGATAGTTTTCAGTTTCTAAAAAACCGAAAATATCCAATTTTTAATTTTTGAAAAACCGAAAACACGACAATTTCAGTTTTTCAAAACCAAAAATCTTTCTTTCCAGTAAATTTTCTAATAAATTATTGGAAAATGAAAGATAGTTTCCCGTTTTTTAAAAGCTGAATTGGGTAACTTTTCGGTTTGTCAAAAACCGAAAAAGCTTATTTTTCGGTTTTTTAAAAACCAAAAAATTTAAACATTTCGGTTTTTCAAAAACCCAAAGGGGCAGTTTTGACTTTTTTTTTAAAAAAAAATGTTATGAAGTTGAAAAACAGGTATACATGTACGAGCAAAAACTTCACGGTAATTCTATAATAATGCTAAATATAACGGATACATACGTTATTTTCTCTAATAATATTAATATACAAAAATACTATAATTTTATAATAAAAATTATTACAATAATTATATAATAATACAATATGATATATACTATAATTGTATTAAAATATCATAATTATTGTAATCATATAGTAATACAATATGATTTTATCATTGCTCCATAGTGTGAGCACCTTAACGTAATTAGTATTAATATGATATCATAATATTAGTAAATATTGTAATAAAAGTAATAAAAATATACAATGAAAAGAAAAAAGGGAAAAGCTCCACACCCTACTGCAAAAGCTAGCTTTCACAAAAGCTTGCATTTGCTCATTTCCAAGTTTGTTTTAGAATGAGCATATACGGGATATGAGAGGTTTTAAGGATATATACATCCTGGACATGATCTCTAAAAATACACCCATATGACCTAGGCCACCGAAACGTGGATATGAAAAAGAAGGATTTGCAATCCCACACAACCCATAAATTTTCCACTTTGTACTAAGAAGTAGAAAATATAAATAAACAAAATATTTTGGTCCAAGCCTGTATGAACCAGCAGGTTCACACCAGTTTAACCAGTCTAACTTGGCTAGCTCGTACCAACTTTGACCGGTTCGACGCCCACCCGGTTCGGACACTTGACCAACCAGTGGGATCACCGGTTCAACGGTTCCCAGTTAGAAGCAGCAGGTCCAGTCTGGTCATAGCATTGATAAAAACATCTAATAGATGATAAAATAATAATATTGAAAACCGCAAAACAACAATTAGATAGAGAATTCAACAAGCACCAAATGGTCTATAACATGAAGCCATTACAGTCTTTGCCAAAGTTTCAACTAATCAAAATCTATTGAAGCTGGGAGAAACCACAGCACAGAGCAAGCTCAAATGACCACTAACTTGCAAGCAACCATAAATCAGATTAAATCACCGAAGGTTCAGGAGAGTACTAACTTGAAATATGTTTAACCATGCCCCAATTGTTGACGCGGCACGTGGGACAGGCCTCCGTAACATGGCCAACAACTTCAATGCATCTGTTCTGATCTCTGTAATATTGTTCTGCCAGTCAAGAAAAAACTCAGGGCTATATATATTAAAAAGGAAGAAGAAGAAATGTTACAAGAAGAGCCAATGACTGGGTCAACTACCAATTGATATTAATGTATGGTCTTTACAATTATTTTTGTAATTATAATTACTCTATCCAAATTCGATAGCTAACTAGGACAAGCCGATATCCATGAATTTATAGTGCTGAGAAATAGATAAGACTTACCAGGGCTGCAAAAGAAAATGCAAGAGGGAATGCACATGCAAACATCATGATCATTCCAAATTGCAAGGCTAACTCCAGAAAGTCTGCAGAAAGGAACTGCATTGAATAAGAGAAACAAATGAACCAACCAAATGGACTGCAAACTCAAATCCTTATATACCATCAAATAAACCATCTTCAACTTCATCCCCAATACTTGCAGAATATGTGGGTTTCATGTATTCTTTCTCTACTCTTGTTACTGGCAGCATCGGCTTGCCTTCTGATGATCCTTTTTCATGTTTTCTCTTTCTTCATGACAGTAAAGGCATCCACGATCAATGTTGTGTAGGGCGAAATTGACAATGTTCAGTGCTTGATGTTGTAATTCAGATTCAAGAAAGTAATGGATGCACTAAAACTAAGGTCAAAAAGCTTACCGTGAGGCTCTGAATTTTGTACAACTGTACTTCAGGTAAGGAATGGAGTTTTCTACAAGATTCTCCAACACCTACAACAGATCACATCAATAATATTCCAAATCTTCATGAATATATTGATGTAAGAACATAAAAAAGCACACTGCTTACCTGCGATACAATTAGTCGCTGTATTAAAAATTGGCGAAGTGTCATAAAGTTACGATGACGAAGTGCATGATAGAACAAACCAATATAGGACTGCATAAAGTAGAGGCCGAAAACCTGCATATGAAATTTTATGGGTCATGTGTGAGTAGTACTTATGCAAGAGAGAAGTGTCCTTGCGAAGATGGACAATGGACAAACATAGTCTGCAGTGGTCATAACCAACCGATGAAATGATGAGTGGCAATGGAGAGAGAGCCAAACCAGAATCAGACACAACCCAATGGTGGTTCCACTCTCTCTCCATCACGGTTTATCATTCCATTGGACATTGATGATCCCTTCAGATCTCCATAGTCTATTGAAGATTGTATTACATACTTTGCCAAGTAAAGAAGCACCAAAAGACCAACTGCAATTTTTCAGAAACCCAATTTTTCATCTCTATATTACCTTGTAAACTAAGCTATCAGCACTAGACTCCCGGCTTTTGTTGTCCTCATTCTTTATAAGACACACCGACACCTTACCACCAAGCCTAGTATAATATTGAATGGCCAACAGATACAAGGCCGTCAATCCAAACCTGAAAGACAAGTTTGTTCAACCAAATGCAATTACCCACACTGCGGATAGGAAATTCTCCAACTGCTTAACGTATGATAATATCTGTTCTCAACATATATACAAGAGAAATTGACAATGATGAGTAAAACACCCGAGTGATTGCATAGTTCAAAACTTACTATGCATGAATAATGAACAACTTGGAGTATTGTTACCATCAATGAAATTAAAATATATAATCCATCCCCAATCTCAATCAAAGAAACAAAACATACAAGAAAAATAGGCCTTTCAATGAAATGTTATTTCCATCCATGTAAAGGATATGATGCAAATAAAAAGGTGATTTTTTTTTTATTATATTTTTTTTTATTATTGTTTTCTCCCAGCATCAGTTGGTACCAGAGCAAAGAAGATCCAGACATCGCAATGCCACTGAAAACTAATCCGGCTATGGATGAGCGCATGGGACAAATTTTAGAAATTCTAACCAAAAGTCATGAAAGACATTTGAAGTGACGTTCGTGAAATGAATCAGCGATTGCGACAATTAGAGAACACCTTCAAGATGATGGTCCTCGCAATCACATAGATCTAGTGCCAACTTTTACCTAAGATACAAAACTACCTCCACAATCGACTCCAAATGCCGATCTTATACGCCACAAACAAATTGTGATGCAGGAATCACAATCTAAGGAACATTCACAAAATCTTGATATCAAGATCGCTCTTCTAAAGTTACATGAGGAGCTTAAAAGGAAATCAAGACTATGATTGATATCTTAGAGTTTCCTTATAAGCTGCATATCAAGTACTAGATTTATAAGTTCACGAAAAAAGAAAAAGAACCAAGATGAATGAATGGACTATACCACCAATTATTCGATTGGCCTCTAAAGGATGTAAGCTCGAGGTCGAGCTTCTCCAAACCCCAAGAGAATGATGCAAATAAGAGAGTGATTTTTTTAATTTTTTTATTTTTATAATATCTAGGACTTAGAAATTATATTATTTGGATTTTTAGTTTTTTTTAGGGTAATTCTTGTCTTTTTTTTGTTGTAAAGTCTTAAGGGGTAGAATTGAAAGTTTTGTGTTTTTGTTTTTGGAAAAAGATGGATATGGACAAGGATTAGCATGGTTGGGTTGGTTAGGATATGTTAGACTTAGACTTGTTTTTAAGAGAAAAGCGAGAGATAGAGGTATATTTTTATGGGTTTTTTTTCTTCTAAGTGTATTTTAAAGGGAAAATGTCCCTTCTTTATAGAGAGGGTGATTGGAGAATAAAGAAATAGTTTGACCTTGTGAAAAGATCTTAGGGTGGACTCCCTTGCAGACCAAGAGAAAGGGTATAATCTCTGAAGCCTCTTATTTTATCTTTTATTTTTTCTGATTTATTTTTCTCCCTACATCAAGATAGGAAGTTATGAGAATACAAAACTAGAAGCTGGGGAATTAAAGCACAGATGGTTGTAAAAGGGTAGGTCAATATGAGGACAGAGAGGTCATGAAGAAGAGTGGAAGCTACTATGCTAACATAATAATGGTATTAATATATTGTTAAATGTGATGTCACTAAGATTCACACCCACTTTTAGCCTCACTAAAAGCATATTCAATAGATTCTACGCTTATGTAGGACAATTGTGGAGATTCGCTCCCTTGGGTAAAAGCCTATCTATTAGCCTCTGGCCCATAATCTTTCTTCTCACACAGTTCAAGAAGATTGAAAAAGGTTTTTTTCAATTCTGTGTAAGCATCAGAAGGATACAAGCGTCCTCAATTCTAGACAAGCGTTAAAATCTCCACTCTAAACGAACAAACTCTGAGCAAGCTTGGGAAAGAAACCCAAAAATTACTCTTCCGTTCACATGAACTAGTACAATGAACATCTGCCTTCAAGGAAACATCCTCAGACCTTTATAACCCTATTAAAGTTGAAAGTTTACATCCATATACAACCCCAAAATTAAGGATGGCATTTTGGAAATGGCATAACATATTGAAAAGAAAGACCCTAGATTTACCAAATGCACTTAAATAGCACAAGAAGGGGTTAAAAGCACCATCACATAGGCATCTCCAAGATGTGATAGCACGTAGCACCTACACTGTGCAGGATTTTGACATATCATGTTCCAATATGAGCATCTCACAATCATTCAAATGGCTTACCTAATGTATCTGTATTCTTCAAAAGAAAGCCTAATTTTCTAACAACCCAAACGACAACAACCTTAATCAGTTTCCAATAATCAGATTCATACTCATGGTTCTCAAATGCTATGAAGGTTGATAAATCTCGCCCTAAACTTAACGAGTTCGTTATGGTTCATGAATTTCCTAAGCCCGTCAATCAAGCACACTTCTTCTGGTGCCACTTTTATCCTACATCCTAGCATCAATGGAAGTATCATTTCACCTAGGTCCCTTAACCTAGATGATATAAGACCAATGAGCACTAGAACTTTCATCATCATCAATAGAGCCTTATCTCAACTATTTGGGGCAACCTACACGAATCACATTCCACCATTCTGCTCTATCAATGGCCATACCCTCAGACCATAGGTCATCATACCTCTTCGCACTACTTTCATCCACACCCTTTTGGGCCTTTCCCCTGCCTATATAGAGCCTTCCACTTGAACCAAATCACCCCTCCTAGCTAGTGTTGTTCTAAGTCGTCATTGTACATGGATAGACCACCTAAGTTTACTTTCCCTCATCTTATTGCCTATTGGAGTCATCCTTAAGTTCCCTTGAATGCATTCATTCCATAGTCTATCCTTTCTTGTCATGCCACTTATCCATCACAACATCCTTATCTTAGTTGTACTCATTCTATGGATACATTGTTTCTTGACCACCCAACATTCCGTCTCGTAAAGCATGGCTGGACTTACTGTCGTCTTATAGAACATCCCCTTCAATGTCAGTAATATGTGACGATCACATAAGACCTCGGAAGCACATCGCCACTTCCTCCACCCAGCTCTATTTCTATGCACGTCATCTTCCTCAATCTCTCCATTCTCATGAATTATCATCCAAAGATACTGAAAATAATTTCCTTTAGGTATTTCTTGGCAGTAAATTTTAACTAATTCCTCGTTTATACTCCTATTAGTACTAAACTTGCATTCCGTATATTCTGTCTAGTCCAGCTAATTTTAATACCTTTTAATTCTAAGGCATCCCTCCAAAGTTATAACTTTGTATTGATGTTATCTCTAGTCTCATTAATCAAAGCTTTGTCATCCACAAAGAACATACACCAGGGTACCTCATCCTGTAGACGTTGAGTTAACTCATCTATAACCAAACGAAGAGATATGGGCTCTATGCTGACCCCTAATGAAGCCACTATTATTGAAAATTCACTTCTCTCTACTAGTTCTCTTCACACTAGTTAGCGCTCCCTCATACACTTCTCTCACCATGTCAATATATCCTCTAGAGACTCCTTTCTTTCCCAACACACCAAATTAACTCTCTAGCTTCCCTATCGCATGTTTTTTTTACATCAATAAAGACCATAAGAAGGTCTTTTCTATTCTCCCTAAACTTCTCAATCAATTTTCTAAGTAGAAAAATAACCTCAATTGTTGACCTCTCTGATATAAAACCAAGCTGATTTTCTAATGCACTCGTTTAATGTCATAGTTGTTGCCCAGTCACTCTCTCCAATAGCTTAATAGTGTAGCTCATAAGTTTGATCCATCAATAGTTCGTGCAATTCTATATGTCTCATTTGTTCTTGTAAATAGGTACCAACTTTTTCTCCATCTATCTGGCATTTTTTATGTTTTCAAGATCTTGTTGAATAGCTTTGTCAATAAGGATATGTCAATCTCACCCAAGCATTTCCAAACCTCTATAGGGATACCATCAAGTCCTAAAATCTTTCCTATCTTCATCTTTCTCAAAGCTACCTTCACTACAGATATCACAATCCTACAAATGTATCTATGACCTTCGACCATTTATGTCAATGGTTCCTTCTAACGTTGTACTTACATAATGGTCGTCATTTAGCAATTTTTCAAAATAAAGTCTCCACCTTTCATTGACCTTGTCAACTTTCACAAAGACCCTCTGATCCCCACTCTTAATGCATTTAACATGATCTAGACCCCACACTTCCTCTTTCTCATTTTTGCTAGTTTGAAGACATCTTTTTGTATAGATCATCATATGCCTTAAGATTCACTTTAGTTACTATTTTCTTGCCGTTCTTCTTGACATTTTTATATTCCTCTAAGTTCTGATCATTTTTATTCCATTGCCAAGCTTTGTAACATGATCACTTTTTGTTAATAGCCTTTTAAACCCCATCACTCCACCACTAAGTTTCCTTATATGAATGTTTTCCCCCTCTACATTCTCTTAAAACTCCAACTGACACTTTCTTAATGTAATCAGCCATCTCATTAACTTTATTTTTATAAATCCATATACCTTCTTTTATTAATTATTCTTAAATAAATTGATTTTCTCTTTTTTTAAATTCCACCACTTAGTTCTTGGACACCTATTAATTTCACTCCACTTCTTCAATCTCTTTATGCAAACATCCATAACTGCTACCCTATGATGTGTAGCCAAACACTCTCCTAAGATAACCTTACAGTCTTTACACGATGGTAGATCTGTCTTCTTAACTAGAAAGGAGTCTATATCGCTTTTATATGTTTGTAAGTTATTAAATGTTCATCTCGCTTTTTAAAGTTGGTGTTTGCTATTGCTAGGTTATAAATCCATAGAAAAAGCAAGAATGGCATCACCCATCTCATTTATTTCCCAAAATCCATATCCTCCATATCCTCTACTATCTTTTTCTACATGACCATTTAAGTCCTCTCCTAAAAAAGTCCTCCCTCCATTTGGTATTCATTGGATTAATCCAGCCATGTCATCCCAAAATTGTCATTTAATTCTATCCTCTAGTCCTACATGTCGAGCATAAGCACTAATTATATTAATTATCTCTTCCCTTAACACAAGTTTAATTAATAGGCACCTATCACCTACTCTCTTAACATATACTACGTTATCCTTAAAATATTCATCTATTATTATGCCTAAGCCATTTCTATTGTTATCCTTTCATATATACCAAAGTTTATATCCATCAATTTCCTTAGCTTTTGCCGCAATCCATTTAGTTTCGTGTAAGCAAGCTACACTAAATCTCCTTCATCCCATTGTATCAACTAAATCCACATTCTTACCTATTAGATCTCAAACATTCCATGAGGCTATACGAATCTTATTCTCTTTGACTAGCTTCTTTACTCGTGCTCATCTACAATGGCATGTGATCCCTTGTATACTTATCACCGCAACTAAGTAGCATTTTGGCTTGTTGCTTCCAAGAAATGCCATGGGTAACTCTTGCTCATTTCTCACTGCAACTGGGTGCCGGTACAGTACGTCACTCATGGGGAACGCCCTAGAATTAGCATATAACATCGGTTCATGATTCATGAAATAGAACTTTCAACACACCAAAAACCCCCCAGACCTTAAGCCTTAATAAATGACCTCACATGCATAATAGCTTTTATCTATTTTTAAGATTTAAGGCAACATTTAAAAAAACAATTACTCTTTGTTTCTACAACAATCTAATAAGATCAGGCTGGCATGCTTTAATGAGTTCCTCTTCATCATCCTGCCACCTTGCGACTACCAAACCCCAAGAGAGAAATCAATTTGAATGATTCAGAGACGGTTCTCATGAACAAACTTGCCTGGAGGATGCATATTTCAATAATTACGTTTACCCTTGACGAAAAATGATGTTGTAGGACTTCAGCATAGGAACTAGGTCGCAAATATGAGATGTGTAGCTCGTGTCCGGAGCACTTAGGAATAAACAGATGTCTGTTAAGACATGTCGATGAGAGATCCATGGCAGTTTGTAGGGCAATGGCAAAGCTACAATGTGTTCACCAAAATGGCAAAAAAATGCCCCACATCAATGCCCCCTCATTAGAAGAGGTATCTCTAAACAAGAACCCAAAGCTGAACATAGTATTCCAATATCCACTCCGGGAGACATTTCCAGCACTCATGAACTAGCAAAATAACAGCTAAATTGGATGACTATGAAGCTAAAAAATTGAATGATAAACTTAGCCAAGAGACATAGGGCCTATATTGGTGCCAGAGTCCCTTGAGACTACTGTGGCTCAGTGCTACCTATTGTGGCAACAGGCTTTGCCCATGTGTCATCAATGGCAACACAGACTTGGACTCAGTTGACCAAACCCTGTTCCCTGGACAATCACATAACAAGGGGCAACTCCAAACTTATTCCACTCCTACTAACTCTCCATTATCTCAGGATTGATTACTAGTTAATTTGGCCAGAAGAGTTACACATTAACCAGTGTAGACCTCACATGACATTTCCTGTTGCAATTAGCTTTTCGTCCAAAGTGCAAAGACTGGAGGCCAATGAACGAAGCATTGGGTCGTTCATTTCCCTTAGTAGGATAGTTTGACTAATGCATAAATGTATACATCTAGAGTAATCATGTAAGAACTAAGGAGTCTCAAGCCCTGACAAGTGATTGGCTCCTGAGCATAGCTTCACAAACGGGTGCACAAGGCGAAGGAGTCGGTACTAAATTCTGGAGGATTTTCCTTAGTGTACAGATAAGATCATGGATACAACAAGCTTGCTCCACTTATGTATTTACAAGAATCAAACCATCGCCCCATGAGGGATTTGTTTGTAGCCACCACTAGCTTGCATAACAACCTATGATAGTAGAATGTAGAGAGATTAAAGGAAGTTCCCAATGCTCGCAAAGAACTTGCTACCTATTGCTCCCCCTTTTTAGCATCAGTTGCAAATAAACTAGAACAGAGGAATGCCATCTGGTTTTTGAAGATTCTAGAAATTATTAACAGACAGAGGAGGGGGTGAAAGAGTAAATAATGTGTTACTTCAATTATTTTTAATTAATAGTAACTGAGGTCATAAAAGGATGAAGAATGACTAACTAAAACCAAGTAATTTTTTATCAAACATCTATTAAAGTGACTCAGACAATGGTGCATTGAAGAACTAAGGGAGTGGCAGACATCGATAATGATGGGATCACTACATTTACAAAATGTAGATGACAATTAAAAAATTTCTATTATCTTAATATTCATTGGACACCATAGAAGCTAGCCATGAAAAATAATTCCATTTACCAAAAATGATAAAAGACTGTCTTACTTCATTATGTCAGAATCCATAACCTCATAGAAATGAGCATAAGCCAACTCAAATGGCAACTGGAGACAAACAATACCCATGATAACAATTGCATTATTCCTGAACTTCCGGAAATTTCCAAGCCACTCATCACTTGGAAATGCTTTGGCCATTCCCTTGGGCTTCTCAGTCCATATTGTTTTCTCAAGTTCCACATGAGACTCCATGAAGGAACTAAACTCTGAATCACTACTCTTTTTATATCCAGGTTCCAATGACATTGAGTCATTGGAAAGGCTAATATGCCATCTGCACAAAACAAAAAAATGCATTGAATTTAAGAACCAAACTGACTCATATTGCACACAAGAAGCAGAAATAAGATCCTCAAAAATACAAATTATCAAATGAGACATAAATACATAATAGATCAACCTTGTCAACAAAGCAGAATTCTTGCGCTTCCAGAATTGGAAAAGTAGAACAGCCCATGATATCACGAAAATGAAGAAGAAAGGAAGTGCAAAAAGCTGCCATGATCTGAAAGATATGACTATTAGGATATAGACTTCATCTTTGCAATCTCAAGATAAAAAGATAAGTAGATAAAGATTGCAGATTGGAAGCTTACCCAAAATCCCACAACTGCAAAACAAGCCCAAAAGCAGCTGGAGCAAAAAGCCACTGTGTGTACATACCTAGAAATGCAAAATACGTGGCAATCTGCAACACAAACCCCTTTGTTGTTGATATTCTATATTCACGTAGTTTGATATCAAAAGGAAAAAAAAGGAAAGATATTCTATTATCACGTACTTGATATCAAAAGGGAAAAAGAAAGAAGACAAGCATTTGCAAGTATATAATTGTGGTGATATTAAGTCATAGCGAAGTTGAAACTGAGCAATAATTAATCAATTATGTAAGAAACAAAAAAACATTAATTTTATCAAATTCTAAAAAATTTCTAATCAGATAGAATTCTGAGACCCTGGGAAATGCTCAATTTTCAACAGACCTCTATTTCAATCACAAAAGGAAACCGCAATGATCTAATATGAGCCAAATTCTAGAAAAGGTTAATGTCATAGAGTTTCTCCAGTCATATCCTGCATTTTAAAATCTGCATGGTATTTATCAGAATAATACAATCAAGAAGATAAAATTGACTAAACCAACATTATAACAAGCTCTAAACAGATACCAGAAAGCCACGAGGCAAATGGTGAAATGGAGACCTCGTCCATGGGGAAGAACTCCAAACTTCAACATGGAAGATAAGAAAATAACTGTTTACGATGCATTATTAGTTTTGAATAAAGACATGATTCTACCTTTGTACCAAAATATGAGTAAACTTCATCAATTGGTTGAGAGGTGAAATCCAACCAATTAAGCGCCCAGTTTCTCACGAGCTGCTTCCTCCTCTTCTCATCTACATAGGACTTAGCATGAAGTTTATAGACCACTCAATGGCATAAATGAAGAACAAAAGAGTTAATATACCATGCAAGGGGAAGACTTGTTTAACAATTCCTTCAGCTTCCATCCTTTTAAGTAAAGACTCCCCTGTTCTCCACTCAAATTCTTTGGTATTGGTCATTAGTTTTACAGTTCCTCCAGTTTTGTTTTCCTGCATTTACCTAACGAGAACTTGAGTTACCAGGAAATATTGCCAGTTTTCCCGAATCAAATTGATGTGAAAGCATAAACTAGCACCAAAATCTTAGGGGAAACCAAAAAGAAAATTAAATTGCATAATGCAAATATATCCAAAATCAAATGACTTACAATTGCATAGATCAAGTGATTGTAACAACAAAAGCGTTCACTCCAACTAAACAAGGTTCCATCAGGCTGTCGCACAAATGCAGCAGCTTGGTCTGACTCAAACTGTAAATCCATACCTAAAACCAGTCCCAAAAGAAAGTTCTGTCACACCTACACAAAATATGCAGTGTAAATCCATATGGGAGAGATTTTCGAGATAGTGTGTAATGAACCGTCATGCACACAGAAGTAGGGGTTTGCATGTATGCATTTACGTGTGCAAATGAGTCTCTAGTCTAGACTCTATATGGAAGAGATTTGTCAGAATATACTTGGATGTATAGTACAAATGTGAATGTGGTATGTGGATATGTGTGTCTGTATTATTACACACGTCTGTGTATCAGCAAACACATACATGCCTTTCCTTTTATTCACGTCAGAAAATAAACTAACGAAGAAAAATAGAAAGAAAGTTGAATAAATGGATCTGACATTTACCAATGTAAGTGGGTTTCTTTATCTGTAACTCTGCAGCAGCTTTGGCAATAATATCTTGTCGTGCAGCCAACTGAAACAATGAATAGAAATATAAACCCAAAACTCCAGGGACGGAAAAAAAAAAGAAAAGCTTACACACTATCCTGGCAATACAAACAAATAAATTATTTCAATCAAGAAAAAGGACCCTTTACTATAATCCAATAACCATAGACAACATAGTTCATAGGTCACTATCTTCTCGCGTAAACATGTAGCTCTTGGGGCCCATTACCATCCCTGAATTTCATGTAATGATGACAAATGAGCTATATAAGTATTCCAGAGTCCACTGAATTATATTATATTATCCCTCAGAAAAACTTATCGATTAAATGAAGGGAGACGAAACCGATGAGACAAATAGTAAATGGGAATAACTCTGATTAGCAGAACAAAAATATGAATTATCTTAGTCAAGGAAGCATACCAGTAAAGTTTCCAAATCCTGCTCCTCATTAGATTTATGTTAATAAGGGTTTGGCAGAGGTGAAATGATAGAACACATCAAATGAGGACAAGTGGCAGAACCAGCGTTTTAAAATGTGGGATGCAGTCCCTATGCGGTTGGGGGGCTGATGCAGTCCAAATGCGGGTGCATCACCCCGATGCGGTCAATAAATATAAAAAAAAATCCAATTTCAAAAAATAGGTTAATGCATGGAAAAAATTATGAAGGTGGTTTATGCGATAGTAGGTATTCAATTTATTCATTAAATCCAATATTATCAGCTGTCGGTGACTCTGAATCCCCTGATAGAAGACATTAGAAATAGAAAGTAGAAATAAGAAACTTGACACTAACTTTATAGAAAGTAGAAACTTGAAACTAACTTTACAGAAGACATTGCCCCAAAAGAAAAACAGAAAGTGTTACGATTTAGGAAATAAAAACTTACTGGTTGAACGAAAAAGTTTTATATATCTTCTTAGCACTTGAAACCCTCAATACGTTGACGAATCTATACTCAAACTTCTTCAAAACAATGCCCAAGCTAATCCCAATCGACAACCCAACCAACACCCAAAGCAAATTGACAAAATTTGCACCAATCTTTTTTCCCCTTCTTTTGATCTTTGTGTTTTTGTGGGGAGGGGGAATTAATACCCCCAAAACCCTTCTCCCCTTTTCAAGGGGGAAAATGACAAAAAAACCCATGCTTGTAGGCACTATTTTTGCCCATGAGCTATGTGGGCATATGCAGTGGGATGCAGCACACATGCGGGCGCATCCCACCAAAGTGCATATGCGCCCCTATGCGATGTGCTTCGGGGCCAAACGAAAAAAAGGCAAAAATCTTTGCACTTGGGGCAATGACGCAGCTAGTGAGGTATACCCGAGGCGTGTCAATTGCTGGTTGAAAACTATTTCCAAACTAATGAGGTCTTTACAAGTCGTTGATATTGGTGGCATTGGGAGACAAGTGTAGAAAGTGACGCCTGATAGGAACATTAGTACGTGATTAAGGCTCCATGTTATCACCTATGATGGATAGCCATTAAAAAATTCTGGTGGAACGTGAAAGTCCATCATAATCAAGTAACGAAATACTCGCAACTGGTAGGTTCATACTACCAATTTGACGTTTCTGTTATTAGCTACACTAATCATTTTGTTAGAAGATCAGTAGTTGAATTCCTTGAAACAATTATCATTCTAGTATTGGCATCCTTCCTATACTTCCTCATTGGCATGCAACCAAGACAAAGGATGGAAAGAGAGAAAATGAGTGAGAATTGGTCATAGGTAAGATGAGGAGAGTTAAAAATTAGACATGGTTCTTAGTGAGTGGAAATTAACCAAAATCATGACCTTATTGCAGCAACACTAACACATCCAAAACGAGGTCAACTCTCCTAAGCAACAAAACAACAACTGATAGGTGTCAAATACGCACCATTTTCCACCCCAAATTCATCTCCAATCAAGAGAATTGATATTTAATCAACACATCATTGTGATTCTTAATACTATGAGCAATACATTCCCAAATTTGATGGTAGATGACCCAATAATCACATCAAAGGCACCATTATCAAGGTAGAAGGAACCAAGAGGATCAATTGTCAAGAAATTTTCATCCAAAACGCACAAATGATGAGAGAAAATATTGAATTTCTTTCCATCTGTTGTAATCTTCTCAGATGTGTTGGGTTACTTGTCCTAATGTTTTTCTTGTTCCCATATCAAAAGAATCTTTAATTCTAACATCCACAGTAAAAGTTTGAATTTCCTCTTCTTGTGAGAAATTTTGTGTATTGCATACATCTGTAATATATTGTGAACAATTTCACCAAAAAAAAAAAAGTTTGAATTTTCTCGGATAAGCTGTGTAGTTAGGGACCCTATAACTGAAGCATTGACTGTACAAGACAGGGTCAGTAACAACTAACAAGTTACGTATGCTCAAGAGTGACAAGATCTTAGCATTGAACCCTTCACTCCAGGAAAAATCCTGAGGAATAAAGCAAACGAGGCTCTTGCACCATCGTCTAGAAAATTAGACTCGATATCATTTGTGAGATGAGTAGAAATTGGATTCTCTCAATATTAGCATTTTCTGATTCGATGACTTTATGTGGAAGCTATCAGTTGATAAACACATGGACCTTCCATTTAGTTCTAATGACACTGATGCCTTCGCATTTAAGATATTAGGAGGTTCAGACACCAGCAGAAGATTCTTCTAAAGCTAGATATAAATATTACTTTTTATTTACTGATGATTTCACCCATTATGCCTAGCTATATCCAATTCGGTAAATAGTGAGATCAACGTATGTTCCAAATTCAAAAATCTAAGTCACCAAGTATCTTAAAGAGAAAGTTAAAAGTCCTTGATTTCATAATGGAGGTAGTGTACATCTCAGGCCTCCAAGGATTTCTTATATGTATATTGCCGCATCAGTTTCATTGTCAGAATTGGGAGAACAAAGAAAACAGCCATTAATGAAAATAGTCCCTCATCCACTGGCATTAATGTTGTTATTTGCTAGTGACCTTCCTGAATGTTTGTGGAAGGAATCTTTTCTTGCAGCTGCTCGATGAAAATGATCACCACAATACATCCTAATTTTCCAACTATTTGGTTACATGACTACTTTTTTCCCACTAAGCAAGCAAGGGTTATGGTTACATTTGCTTGCTGATTGAATTTTTCATTGCATATGCTATATGTTCATATAGATTACTCCCTACAAAATGATATCCCTTGAATTTTTATATGTATGATGGTCTGTCATAATGCACAGTCCAGATACAAGGTTTACAGGTCTCATGCATGCGTGTTAAAGAAAAACAAATTGGCATATCAGGTTTATATCGACAGGTCTCTGCATTTTCCAATAGGAACCAGTTAAGTCACTTCAAAATTCAAGCCATAGCCCTAAGCACATTCCAGTCTAAAGTAGCTCAACTATGCAATTGTAACATTTTTAAAACTTCTTAGGATTTGTCCAGCATTGTCAACTCTCTTAAAAATAGTTCTTGCATGAGCTTCGGTACTTAATAAAGCATGAGCTTATACCCACTTGAATCAAAAGGGCATGCAAACAAGCCAAAATAAGAGGAGCAAAACATAGGTGATCACCAAGTGCTTAGAGACCATCAACTATCTTCAATTGGAAGATAACCAAGTAATCCCTTTCAAATGCCTTATGGAAACCAGACATAGCAATCTACGATACAAAAACTCAGTGAAAAAAATATTCAGGAATTTCTCAGCAAGGTAATTCCTTAAAAGGTTTTCTATATTTTGGTTTTCCTCAAGAAGAACTCAAGAAAACTAAAGAAGGAAAAATACTATTATTCAAAAAATGCAAAAAAGAAAGTGAAATTCAAAAAGAATAAAACAGTAAATACTGTTTCTCTACTAAACTTCTAAACATGTCTCAAGAAAGTAATACATTTATCATGCATTTAATTATTTTGCAAAGTAATTTTGTTGTAAATCAGCAATTCAAGTTATCTTGCAAAAAAGGGAATATCCAGATAACAAGAGGGAAATCTCACACTGCCAAAGATACAAAAAAAATTTCAGAAATACTCAGCAATATTTCTGCAAGATAAGTTGTTTTAATAAGAGGACAAACTGTTACTAATATCAGCTTCACTCAAATAAATCATAAATTTTGCGGGTAATACTTTGATAACATACAATTTGCATCGCAAAGCCGAATCGATATCAATTGTGCCTTGAAAGAAAGACCAGATGCTACTCAGCATCAAACGATGAAACACAGAGGTGAACTGAGTAGAAAGAGAATACCAGGTGGGAGGAATAACTTTAGATTACATCATGGTGTCAACTATATCTGTACTATAACAGATTTAAACCAGAAAATCATGCTTTGCTGGTTACTAAGAGTTGGCAAGTGAGAATCATATTTGAACAAAATGTATGTCCAGAGAATGTTCCACTTGTTGATTGAAAAATAGATGGATCAATCAAATAAACACGTAAACTAGTACCCACTTTGCATTTGCACCTCTCATGATTATTTTCTTTATCAATACAAAATTTCAGTAAAACAGACATGTAGCCAGAGAGAGAGAGTGTGAGACTTCAAGTAAAACAAGTACAATGAATACACACAAATAATAGCCCAGGAAAACACACATTTAGCCAAATATTGAGAAGAGAAAGAGAGATAGAGAGAGAGAGAGAGAGAGAATTAGCCACAATTAGAGGGGGAGGAGAGAGAGAGAGAGAGGAATAAATACATTTAAAACTAGGAAAAGCAACAAAGAAACCCATCAATGTAACCCAACACAGTGAAACATTCCACCAACTCTGTTTCAATCAAGAAAAAAAACCACCAAAGCAAGTGAAGATCAAAGGACAATAAGCAGAAAGAGCACCATTTTTGTAAGGGTACCTTAATAAACACCTCAGAAATGCCATGAAAACACTCAACTTGCAGACCCAACTTCTCCAATTCCTTAATTAAGCGAGCCACACCCAAATTGTCACCGTTATTGTCTTCGTCAAAACTCCTCTTAGGAACCACTATACATATCTCATAAACAGTCTCCTCCGCCACCCCATTCATTCCTTACAGGCCAGGAGAGGGAAGATCGCACGGGAAAAAATACTCAAGACAAAACAGTACTTTCTAGAGAGAGAAAGAGTAGAAAATTTTTAGAGAGAGAGCCTTTTTGCAGTGTTCAATGGCGAAGGTTTGCAAAAAGAGTGGTAGACGACGAGCAGTGTCATCGGTTTCAGAAAAAATTTGTTAACGTCTCAAGACGTTAACTACCCATAACTTTGTTACATTTGACAGAACTACCCTACTTTCAAAGTGGATTTTGTACTAAGACTATTGATTTTTTAGGAGATCAAAATTATTTCTAAGCGTAAGATGTTAAATTTGAAAGCTTTTGTCATAAGGTCAATATTTATTTTTATTTGTGAACTTTGAGTTTAGTCAATAATAATTTTATAATAATTAAATTTTAAATCTAATAGATAACAGTATTTGTAATCTATTTGTATGAAAAATAAATGATTTTTTTATATACTTTTTCATTTCAAATAGGACACGAATATAGGGTCCAGTCATGGTCCTTGGAGAGAGGGATTTCACATGCCAATTCCCAATAGCGAGGCGAATTCTAGCAAGAGTCTGATCCTCATCCTTATAAGGCAGGATAGTCTTAGATTTGGAATTAACAAAGAGTATACTATAAAGTCAGTCATGCTTTGTGAAATAGAATATTGAGCGGTCATTAAATAATTTATCTATAGAATGAGTATAGTTGAGGTGAAGATATAGAGATAGATAATTGGCAAAACAAAATGATAGAATTTGAAATAAACATATTTAAAAGAAATTAGGGGTAGCTCCAATTGTTAACAAAATGATGGAAAGTAGCCTAAGGCAGTGTAGTCATGTGGAGCATGGATCCAGACAACACAAGTTTGAAAGGTGAGAAAATATATGGGACTTATAATATGAGGGTAGGGTCCTTAATAGCACGGCATAACAAAATAGGATTCGTATAGCCAATTTAAAATAGTTGAGGTAAAGCTTTAAGGATAATAATAAAATGTTTTTAAAAAAAAAGACAAATCAAGGAAAAATATATGTGCAAGTTTAGGCCTATTGTGGCTTGGCTCAAGCCCAAACTTGCCCTTCGAAAAATATATTGAAGCCCAAGCTAAGTTTTACACTGACCAACTAAGTTTTACATATCCTAAGGGCTACGCCACCATGGCTCTAGTCCACGTAAGACCATCCCAAAGTAGGCCAAAAAGACGTTGGCTCAAGCATGTCCTTAGTCCTATTAGGGCGGCGTTGGGGCAAATAAATTTAGAAAAAAAAAACAAAACAAAAGGAAAAGAGGGTCGGGCAAGGCCCACGTTGCCTAAGACCAGCCCAGCCCTATCCCTAGGACATGGTTGCCTTGCCCTGGCCCGCCCTTAGACCATATTTTGTGGCCTGGGCCCTAGCTTTTTATGGCGGGGTCACCAATCCATTGCTAGCCTTACTTTTATCATCGTATGGAGCAGTGAATTGATCACTTCTATGAAAACAAATATAAGTGCTTGTGAGTGAACATTCAAGAAAAAAATGCCCCGTGAGTGAATTTGACTGAGACACGAAAACCAAAGTTGTTGATTTCAAACTAATTTTCCAAGTATGATGATTGAGAGGTAGTATAAGTAGGTTATTTGGTGTATTATATACCGGGATTATCTACAAAAAAAAAAGTCATTTATCTTTGTACACGGGGGTCACATTCATTCGCACTCATTAGATATCAAATTGGATGGCTTGAAGTGAGTCATGCAGTTTAAGATTTTTTTTTTTTTAATTTTATGTATATTTTAGTAACACTCTTACAACCACCCATTTTGAAATTTACAGACAAAAATGATTGTGACATCCATGTAAATAAATATAAATTATCTTTTTTTGTAGATAATCCCATTATATATATCTATAATTTTGAAAAATTAATCTTAATAAAAGGTATTTAGCTCCTTGAGTATCCAAAAGATTTCCTACTCCCTCGAGCAAAACATGCACTAGGAATATAATTTTTATCCTAAATTTCGGGGATATGATTTCTAAAACTCCATAAGACAAAAAAAATTAACTCACTTTTTATGTGCCAAAACAAAACGGCATCCCAAGATTTGCACCAGAACTATCTAACTTTTGGAAAGAATGATCTAGATGTTCAAAAACTTAAAATCAAAATTATTTTTTTTAGAAAATAATCATCTAGTTATAATTAGATAGATCCCAGAATTTCAAATTAAAAAAAAAAAAAAATCTTCCAAGTGTTTTATCCGAGGGAGTAAATGTATAGTACGCTCCCGAGGGAGCATAGTATACATGCTAAGCATCAATTATAAAACAGAAAACCTGGACACAGATGTCATTTTAAAAAATGAACGGTCCAGATTAGGACAAGACCCTTTCTTGAGAGAGGAACATTTTTGAAATATCATAAGGAACTGGTGTCACTACAGTAACGCTCTGTGGGGTGCTTCACAGTGCATAAGGCAATAAACCGAAACGGCCGCTGCAAGGCCGCACGTGTGGCACTCCTTACACGTACGTGTGGCACTCCTTACACACACGTGTGGCACTTAGGGAAATTGCGGTTTAGAGAGAGAGAGAAAAGGAAGGAAGAGAGAGAAAGAAAATGAGTGTCACGTCTTTCAAGGAGCATAGAAATCCGTTATTCCAATCCGTGAAGCAGATTCTGAATCAACTCAAATCATTTTCTGTGCTCCCTTTTCATATCTTCTCTGCTCCTCAGTGGGGCTGTCTCTTTCTCTCTCTAAGCTCTGTTTGTTTCTCTCTCTAAATTATCTTTTAGTATTTATTCTCTTTCTCTCTCTAAACTCTGTCTCTCTCTCTCCAAAATATCTTTGAGTATTTATTTTGATATGCTGCTGGAATACAATGCAGGGGTACATCATGAATGCAAGTGGAGCAATTGACTGTGCAGTGCGAAGAAACATTGAGAAAGAGTGAAGTTTGAATAATAATTAAAACAAGGCCACGTAAAAACTGTGCTGAGAGATGTAGTTTGGTGTGGGGGAATTTGTGATGGCATGAAAATTTACTGTAATTCTTGATCATGAATTTTAAGGGTGCGGTTTCTATAAGGTTGTAATTTTGAACAATTCAAATAAGGCACACCTACAAATTTTATTATAATATGCAATTTTGGTGTAAAAAATTCTTAAGACTATTTGAAAATCTATTTTTTTTTTTAATTATAAAAGTTTAAACTCCAAATGGTTAAAATCAATTAGATCTATAAATATATGAAAATCTTGAAAATGGGCGGTCTAGATAATGTGTTTCGAGATGCACTATTTTTGGGATCCAAAATCTTTTTTTTTTTTCATATTCATACATCTCAATGTTGAGATGATCAATTAGAGGGTTTTTCAACATTAAAAAAAACTTTTTTGATGGACTTGATTTTAGAGGGTGAAAAAAATGAGTAGAAAGAGATGAATGAGTGCCAAAGCTCCTTGATAATTCGTTTAGAGAACAATGTACACAACGTGATTTTGAATGGAAAAAAGCCCCATTATATAGAGTTCTAAAAGGCTGCATATTAATTATTGAAGTGATTACAGGCACCGCCTTTAATTTCGATGGTTGTGATCTGTTACAAGCATTCATATCATCAATAGCTAGTGATTTTTAGATGTCTTGATATTAATTTGTTGAAGTGATTACATGCACCACCTTTCATTTCAACAGTTGTAATATGATACAAGCCTCCATGTCTTCAATGGCTAGTGATTGTTGGATGTCCCACACGTGTCATGACTTTTGATATCTTGGGTCGATAATCCAGGAAAATAATGAAATTTAAGAAGATGTCGCACATAAAATTAGAGCTGAGTGAGCGAAGTGGAGATGTGCAACCGAAATTTTATGTGATCGCCGCATACCAATGAAGCCCAAACGTAACTTCTATAGGATAACTGTGAAGCTAGCTTTGCTCTATCAGGCATAATGTTGAGCACTAAAAACAATATATCCATAGAACAAATGTAGCCGATATGATGATGTTGAGATGGATGAGTGATAAGACAAGAAGGGATAGAACTTGAAATTAATATATTTGAGAAAGTTTAGGCATGACATCATTAGGCGATAAGATGAGAAATATTAGACTTAGGTGGGCTAACAATGTGTGACGCAGGCTCAGTATAACACTTGTTAGGATGTGCGAGTTAGTTTAAGTATAATGCTCAAAAAATAGGTAAGCCCAAAAAGACATGCTTAGAAGTAATGAGAAAAGACATAAGGACTTATAGCTTATGCTTTTATGTATATATATATATATATATATATATATATATATATA